GTAGTGCGATATGTACTTAGGCAGTTTATTGATCTGGTTGATTATTTCCTGAATTTTATTTTCAGGGACTTTGTTTAAACCACCTTGTTTTCTACCTCTTTGATCAAGAATTGGAGCACGATTGTTTACCTTTCTCAGAGCTGTTGTTACTCTTGACGGAGTTATTCTAAGACTATTGATAAACATTTGCCTATAAGTAAGGAATATTGTCTGGAATACAGACGTCTTTCAGTGTTTCTTCCATACATTCTTTTTTTCGGCATTTCGTGGATATTATTGGCAATAAAGATAGTTTGGGCATTATAAGACCCAAGACTCCAAAAACGATCAAATTCTTGTTTTCGTGACTCTGTAGAAATCAACTCAGAACATTTCATCGGGCAGTTACAATTGTAGTCATATTGAAATTCTTTAGCAGCTTTCAATTTTCCTTTGTAGTCAATGTAAGATTCATTTTTGTTCCTATTAATCTTTGATGTTGCTCGCGTCATTGCAAATTTCTTTTTTCTACCCTTCTTTGGACGACCTGATGTACTGGCTAAAAATGGATTATCATCACAACTTTCATTGTTATCGGAACTCTCTTCATGTGACGATGGTATAAACATATCAGAGGAACCGCTACTAAAGACATCACTTATTGACATATTCTGTAAGAATAAAAAGGTAGGTATTATTAGATAATATTTTAAATAAAAATTTCAAAAAATTATAGAAAGCGTCTATTTTAATTAAAGAAGTTAACTTTTAATCAATTACCAGGTACCAAAAAATAAAACAAATTCAATTCATTCAAATTAATCTTTTTCATAAAGTTTACTATAGGTACTCATCGAAAAATAATTTTCATATGCTTTACATTATTGTATAATTACTTTAATCAATAATAATTGATGATCATAATAATAGGTATCAATTTAACATTGGTATAATAAGATTAATACATATGTGTTTACAAAATTGTGTGTACCTAAGGAAGTTGTATTTTTTCTTTTAGATTGTAACAATAGGTACATCAAAGTTTAGTTTTCATTAAATAGAAATAATATAGCGAATAGCATTATAAAGCATTTTACTAAACAGTATAGGTACAAAGATTTAATACTTACATCATAATCATCAACAGAATCTATGGTAGAAGCTGATTCAAAACATCCAGTTTTCTCGTTTAAAACCATTTCACGAATACGACTATTGGATGACGATGGTTCGCTGTGACGGTAGAATTCTGTCACATTGGTATCATCCATATTCTACAATATATTTAAATTATGTAATGATGTATAAAATGCATTTATTTTAAAAATTTAGTAAACAACATAAACTTTTAGAAGCCGTGTCTTATAAACTGATTATTTTTTCGTGATTTTCGGCCAGATTAAAGAAATACCACAAAACTCTATTTTCTTCTATTTTCTTTATTTTTTTTTTAAGATTTAGTAACAAAATAAATTGAAACGTCGTAAAAAAAAAAGAGAGTTTTGTGTTATTTCTTCAATCTGGCCGAAAACCACGAAAAAATAATCAGTAAACAACATATAGTTATTTTTTAATAAAAAATTTCCGACTTACCTCAACATTGGTAATATTTGAATCAAATTCCACGCTAGACATTACACTATTTGTTTGGTTTTCCATAAGTTTTGCTAGCTCACACATGTATTTGCTTCTTTTCGACATAATTATTATTAAATAAGTATTTTTAAACCCGAACAGTCAGAAAAATCAGACACAACTGAATAAAAAGAAATGTTTATCAATACATAGGCACATTTACTTAAAACTAAAGGAAAGTGATTACTATGCTTAAGATGAGTACCTATAATAAATTAATTTTTATCGACCAAGTTCCAGGGTTTATACGCACAAGGCACGTTTTAAACATTAATAGGGCACATTCCCGTAATAAAATTTTATTATCGACCGAAATTGAAGATTCAAACTACTTTTAACATATTAATGAAATAGTAAACGTAAAATGATACCAAGTGGTTTGGACGATTTCTGATTATACTCTTATTTTTAACAAGTATACCGAAATTTATAAGTAGAAAACATCCAATTCACTTGGATGTTTTTAACACAAAAAAATGCACAGTAGTTTTGTTATCGCATGGAGCGTTAAAGTGATCCAACCCACTTAGCCTGTTTTAACCACTCTTTTAACACGATTACTTAGATCGACATACATTTTTTAGAAAAAATTCAACCCACTTGGATTTTTTATTATCAATGAAAATCTCAGTTAACCTAGTTTGTGGGTTAGAACTTTGACGATTATTAAAAGAGTATGTAATGTTTTCACTTGGACGGTTTCTGCATATTATAAAGCAAGAAATTATATGCTCGCTGGTGTAAAGAACTCATTTTTAACAATTTGTGGGTTGGACGTTTTCTGCTTAACTACGTCCAAAAGACTCCCCGAAAAATCAGGCACCCCGCCTACAGCCCACAGCGAATTTAGACGGGGACTAAGCAACATCTCTGTTTTTGCAGAAGTCAAAATCATAGATATATAAATAATGATTATAATACAGTAGTACCCTTTTTGTATAAGTTAGAAGTGTTTGAAGTTTTCACATAGTTCTCCAGGTAGCCTTTGCCACATGGTCGCCACATCTCCACATCCCTTAATCCAGGATCGTCGTGATAGTAGTGACTTGAATGGACAATAACCCGCACATAGACATTTTTGAAAGACTTGTTAACTATAGTATATTTGAAAAATAAGTTGGAGTAAATTCTCAGAAAAAAAAAAACTAAATTATTAAGCATATTATAGTACGTGTGCTTTTCGTGCAACGTCAATATTTTAGCTTATTTCACATTGGGTTTGACCAATTAGACAGAAATTTTTCCACGTCACATGAACTATCGTAAAATTTAGTTACCTGCTATTGTTAGAACAGTAGGCTAGGAAATATTCAGCTGGTCATAGACGTACTTTAAGGGAATTGCATTATTTGTTTCGGTTTATTAGATATTTAAACCATTTTCAAAGCATATTATATTTATATAAATCTGTTTATTTTAGTAACCTTATTTATGGTTAATATTATGGTTATGATATTGACCCATTAAATACCAAGAAATAAAAAAACTCTTAAAATAAATACATAGGTATTTAGTTAATGGTCTTTTGATATTTTAGATAAAAAAAGTCGATTAGCGAAAGATGGTTTCCGATAAATGTGAACGCTGTTTTAAATAGTATAAATTTTGATTTTGTTTATAAACCAATGATTAATAAAATGGTTAGTTATCTTTAAATAGTCATTCTTAATATCAGAATATTTTTGTCAGTCGATTATACGCGAGTGAAGAGATCTGACATAGTGGTTTTTTGCAATAGTGAATAGTGAGTTTACTAGAATATGGAATTAATGTGTGATTATACACCAGTTAAAAAATTAAAGTTGAATCCTTTATCACTTAACGAAAAGAGCGTTATCTGCAATGTCTACAATTATCTTAAGGAACACAATCCTTCCAATACAAACAAAACAAACAAAAAACAAAATAGTATAGTTGAAATTTCGTCTCAAGTAATGGGATATTCAAAATCAACTGTATATAACATTTTAAAAGAGGAAAAAATAGTTGCTATAACCCCACCCAAGCCGTGAACAGGAAGACCAAAATTGTCGAAAGTGAATGTGGATGAATTTTTCAAAAATGCAATTAGTAGAATGGTCCACTCATTTGTTTTTAACAAACAATTTTTTCACCAACTTACGATAAAGTTTTACAAGCCATTACCGATGATCCCGATTTACCCACAATAAGTAGAGACAAACTTTGGAAAGTTTCGCGTGAGTTAAACTTTAAGTATGAAAAAGTTGACAGACAGTCAATGCTTATCGATTCCGAAGAAATTGTGTGTTGGAGACGAGACTACCTCAGGAAAATAAAAAAAAATGAGGATAGAAAATAAGAACATTTATTATTAAGATGAAACGTGGGTTAATGAAGGGCACACTGGAGGGAGATTTTGGAAAGACAAAACTATGAAAACATGTCGACAAGTATTTCTGGAAGGATATTCAACTGGTTACAAGAAACCAACAGGTAAAGGTCGACGATTAATTGTTACCCATATCCAGTATGAATGGATTTATTAAGGAGGTTTACTTTTGTTTGAATCAAAAAAGACCTGTGATTGTCACGAAGAGATGAACGAAGACGTGTTTGAAGAATATGTCGAACAGATGATTGAATTCATACCTAAAAATTCAGTTATTGTGATGGACAATACAAGTTACCACTCTGGATTAGTTGAACGTTTACCAACTACTCAATAGAGAAAAGATGAAATTGCAATGTGGTTAACTTCTAAGAATTTAATCTTTGACGATTCAATGACAAAAGCAGAATTATTAGAGAATTTGTAAAAAAATGTGAAATAGACTCTCAGTTCGGATTAAGAAAGGCCTTAAGAATAAGAGAGGCGCTGTTTGAGACTCAAACACTCATTCAAATATGTCTGGATCACCAGAAAAACGTATATCTCTGTTTCATCGACCGCCAGAAGACTGTTTTGAAAAATTGTTGTATAAAACACAGAAACTGAAGCTAGAGTCTCCGCATTTTGAGAAGGCATATGATAGAGATACCTGAGATATTTTGTAGTGAATAAAAAGGAGTTCTCAGTGTAGACGTGAAGATTGTGAGAGACAAGTATGAGAAAGTAACAACTAGTTTTAAAACAGGGGTGGGAGAGACTGATAATTACGTGAAAGTAAGATTGCACCAGGCTTCGGCGCTTAGTCCTTATTTATTTTCATTAGTGTTGGATAAGATAACAGTAAAACTACAGAATATAAAAAAAGACAAGAAAAAAATATAAAAGAAAAATTATTCCGTAAAGTAAAATTGTTGAGATACAGACCAAATTATTAATATATAACAACAAAACCCTTACATTTCCCTTTGAAACACCTTTGAAAGCATATCTATATTTCCGTCATTCCCTTCAACAAAGGGGTGTATAATTAACTCACCTATCATTAGTAGAGAAACCGTGAGATGGTCCCTTCCGGAAGGCCTCATGGCGCCCAGAGCTGTACCCACTAAAACGCAGCAGACGGCGACTAGAGCTATGAGGGCTATGAACCATCTCAGCGAGCCCGGCTTCCACGACAAAATTCCGCAGCAGCCTTTGGGAGGGTCCTCGGAGAATCTGCCCCTGAAAAAAACGTATGATGTTATTAAATTTAAGTTGAACCTGGAAGCAGATGTGAGATAAAATGTGTTTTTCATAGGAAGGGTAGAGGAAATATTTGTAATTATATATACACACATATGGGATGTTTTCTAAATAATTTCATTTTGCTTGTTATTTGGAATTACATAAAATACAACATTTATTACTCATCTCTTTTATTATTTTTTATAGGTATTTTACTAGTTAGCCGATTTCCTTACAAATGTACCATTCGTGTCCATTTCTTTGATGATTGCTCGAATCCCGGAGTATATATTTCTAGATCAGCCGTACTCAAACTGTGGTACGCGTACCACTGGTGGTACGCAAAGCACTTAAAGGTGGTACTCTATAAACTAGAAGAAACGAAGAATTTTAATAAAATTACTAAAAAATGTTATCTTTTACGTTGTTTTTTACGTTGTGCGTGGCAACGCTGTGAGTTTGAAGCCACATGCGCGTAATGTCTTATCTATTGTTGGCAACACTGGAATCACGGCAAATTGTCACCGCCTTTGATTCACGTCCATTCACGTGTCCATCAGCTTCCTCGTGGACTTACGAGGTTGGTTGGTTTTGTCGACATGAGTAATTTGCTGTTACTGATTCTTGCTAATTTTTGCATATAAAAAATGGATAAGTGGCTTAAAAGGGACAACAGAACATCTGAGAATCCCGGTCCATAGAGCTTTACTTCAGAGCAATATAAATGATGAGCCAAGGCCCCAATGTGTAATCTGTTCGGAAATTCTTTCTAACCAGTGTATGAAACCTTCGCTATTAAAACGCCACTTCAATATAAAACATTCAGTGTTGAAAAATAAATTTAAGGATTACTTCGTTCGAAAGTTAACGGAGATGAGAGGCACAAAAAAAATTATTGTCGAATATCCTTATTAGTGAGTTTAAAAATTGCGAAGTGTGGAAACGCATATACCATCGGTGAAGAACTAGTTCTGCCTCCCGCACAAGGTATGGTAACGTATATTTTTGAAAAGAATTCAGGTAAACAGCTAGTATTAAACCATTATCTAATGATACCGTACGTCGTAGGATTGAAATAATGGCATTAAATGTTAAAGACCAATTGGTTAACGACATAAAAATACTATTTTTTTGCAATACAACTTGATGAGAGTACAGATGTAACAAACTATGCTCAGCTTATGGTTTATGTGCGATATATATATTTCAAACCAAAATCGACGAAGAGTAATCGATACAGAAGCTTAAGTAGAAAAGCGAATGCCAGATAAATTTAAACATGTTATCCATGAAGCCCTTCAGATAGTCAATTTCATAAAACCTCGAGCCCTTAACTTGCATTTATTTTTAAAACTATACTCTGAAATGAGAAGTAATCATATTCAGTTATTGCTACACACAGAGGTAAGATGGATACCAAAAAGACAAATTTAAACAGGTTATTCGATTTGCGTTCTGAAGTACAGGTGTTTTTAATGGAAACCAATTTTGAACTGCAGGATCGGTTACTAGATGAATTGTGGCTTATAATACTTGCTTATTTAACATACATATTTAATCGATTAAATGACCTAAACTTAAGCTTACAAGATAAATCACATAATGGATTTTCTGTAAACGATCAAATAAATGCTTTTATGAAAAAACAAATGTTATATAATGAAAAATAGTGTTTCAAACAAAGACTTGCAGTAGTGCACCAATTTAAAAATTTTGTGATAGAGCAAAAGACATCAATTAGCATTATCAAATGCTAATTGATGCTTTTAAAGAATATTTTGACGAAGGCTATGCTCAGTTTCTTTGTATACGACAACCATTTATTTTGGATAGCATTCTTGATACATCAAAACAGGATGAGAAAGAGACTTTAATAGAACTAAATTGTGTTGAAGGTTTAAAAATAGAGTTTTCAAAATTAGAATTAGCCGAATTCTGGCAAAATATTAAAAAATTAATATCCAGCCTTATCAAAAAAAGCATTTTTATTTGTACTTCCTTTTACGACCACCTACCTGTGTGAAACTGGATTTTCTGCTATGCTATAAGTGAAAAATAGATTTCTCAGTAGGCTTAATCTTTATCCAAATTTACGAATGAAACTAAGCACAATTGTTTCTGATATCGATTCACTTGTTGTAGCTATGCAGAACAATTCTTCTCACTGAATTTTTGGACTGAGCTAGACTGGAAGTTTTATTTTGTAACATTTATAATGCTTTTTTGCAAATAAATACATTTTTGTCAAAATTAGTAAATTTAATTGTCTACTTTTTTATTATGTGGTACGCGATTGACACAGAATATTTATAAGTGATACGTGTAAAAAAAAGTTTGAGAATCGCTGTTCTAGATCATAATAGCTTAAGGACATCACCAAGTGTTAAATGCCTTTGTAAGGTCCACGAAGCCCATGCAAGCAGTTTTGTTAGATTCAAATGGTTTTTCTATTACCTCATAGATATTCGGGATTTTAACCAGATTTTAAACTTAACAGCGCTTAAGAGACTTATCCGGCTATACTTTTTAGGATCTTTTTTTTCACCTTTTTTAATATTAGGTTATACTTTCTCGCCAGACGTTCGGTTCGGTATTTTCTTATATACGGTGAATTTCTCAAAGATAAAACGCAGTTCCTCAGTCAACTTTTCTCCACTGCACTTAAGCATTTCGTTTGTTATCCTATCCAATTCCGGCGCTTTTGGTTTTTTTTTAGTTTGGATAGCGTCTTTGGATTTGCCAAGAAGAGAATTGCATTATAGTAAATACTTTGTTTCAACAACCTAAAAGACGACTATATACCTGCAAATCTCCAGCTGATCAAGAAGGAAAGGTAGTCAGAAATCAAATCTACATTATCATTAACAGAAGGTTTAGAAACAGTATTACATCTGCAAAAACATTCCCAAGTTCAGACGCAATAACTAATCATAATCTGCTCTGTGCTGGATTCAAATTAAAATTAAAAATAATAAAAACCCCGACAGCTCGGAAAAACATATTAATATCTATTGAATATCTACCTAGAATATCTATTGATTTTGTGAATTTTTTTATCTATTATTTAATGATATTTGTTTTTCTCTTTGTGTTGTAAATATCCCATTTCTAATTTTTTGGGATTCAAACATTTAAAAAACAGTGGCGGCTTTTTCTTTTGAAGAATTGTTCTCTTCCTTGAATCATTTTTTTTTTATTTTGTTTTGTAGCTTTTTTTCTTGAGTTGATTCCTCTCTCAACAGAGAAGTACGGAACAACGGATCCTTCAAGCCTATTCTGTTTAAGATTAATTCTTCATAATCTAGATCACTAGGTATGGTGCAGTAGTAGTGGAGTGAACGGTGTATATGTGAAGTGATCTGGGGCTCAGGAGACTGAAAACCCAGAAGTCATGATTAAGTGTCCGTCCCAGCTTGCGTGGAGGAGGAGTTCTGAATAAAGTTCTTTTCTGTACTTCGCGTAAGACGGATGGACGGGGGAGTCCTTAACCCAGACACGGCGCGTCCCACTTGCTGATGGGGAAATGTCCTACAGATATGTAGTATAGGTGTGAATAAGGTTTTATCAAATAAGCACTCGCGAATCAACTGAGGAAATGACATAGGGCAGCAGCTATGAATTACTTCATTAAGACTATAGCGGAATGATTTATACTGTTGGCTTAATGACACATACTCACGGACGGATATCACATAATTGGTGGAACAGTTGGTTCCGGGCCAACTAGTGTCAAATGGACTACCGGGCATGTGTTTGTGAGCAAGCAGGCAACATATGCGAAATTGGCGCCTGTAAGAAAATCAGATTTTCAGTTAAGAAAAGCAATGGGAATAATAATCTGGAATGTTCAAAGATTATTGTAACCAGGCAAAATGCATATACTATAACGAAAAGTCGAAAGAGAGGATATAGAAATATGCGGACTTCCGGAGATCCATTGGAAAGGACAAGGACATTTCCGAACGGCAGAACATGTTGTATACATACCGGGAGCAAATAACACAGGAAGAAATGGTATTGCAATTATGGTGACTAACAAAGTTTCACAATACGTGTATTATTACCAACCGATAAATAAACCAACATATAAATGAAGAATGCGAAAAACTAGAGAGACATGCAAACCGGTATGAATCCCATGGGCTATATAACAAAGTCCGATATCTATCCAGGGAATTTAAGCCAATCACACAAACAATAATGGATCAAAACCAACATATTATAAATGACGAGAAAGGGATTGCGGAGGTATGGAGAAAATATTGTCAAAGTCTATATGCAGATGATCCCCAGAATGCAAATCACGACGAGTTCATAGCAGAGAGAAAACCAAACATTTGAAAGTCAGAGGTAGAAAAAGCAATCAAAAAGTTAAAAAATAGAAAATAGAAAATATGATCTGAAAAAAGATTTGGGAAACCGGAGAGTGGCCCAACGACTAGACAACATCCACTTTCATCCCTATATTCAAAAAAGGAACTCCGTTAGATTGCAGCGACTACAGAACGGTAACTCTAATATCCCATGCAAGCAAGGTTCTACTTTATGTAATACATGAAAGACTAAAAGCTTTTCTATTGCCTCAGATATCAGAAGAACAAGCGGGATTTTTCCCAGGAAAAGGCATAAGAGAAAACATCCTTAATGTCAGAGAGCTAACTGAAAAAACTTGTGAATTCAATACCCCTATGCTTATGTGCTTTGTGGATTACACAAAGGCCTTCGATAAAGTCAAGTGGCAGCAGCTATGGTCCATACTAGCGGAAATGGGAACACCCCACCACTTAATTCAACTAATTAGAAGTCTAGATGAAAATAATAAGTGCACAGTAAAAATAAACAACACCCATTCCGATCATTTCAGAACAGAGGCAGGTGTCAGGCAGGGATGCATAATCTCGCCACTGTGTTTAATATATACAGCGAACATATTATGCGAAATATACTAGACGGATGGAAGGGTGGAATATCAGTAGGAGGTCAAAAAATCAGTCATT